CTAAGGAAGCTGCTCTGAAAACAGAAAAGATAAGGAAGAGGTCACTGAATCGTGCCTAGGTTGCAATGATTTGAAAATCTTTCTCCAAATGACTGATTTTCCTTGAAAGTCCACTGAAAAACATAGGTAACTGGTGTTCTGCAAATATTTATACCAGTATTTAAAAATGCATTACTTTTTATGACAAAAGCAGTACAATGGTTCCTATGAAAAAGCTAAATATCAAAGCGAAATACAAAAATTAGTTGGCTATGGTGGCACGCACCTGTGATCCCACCTTCTCAGGAGGCTGAGGCAGGAGAATCGCTTGAACCCGGGAGGCAGAGGTTGCAGAGAGCCGAGATCATGCCATTGCACTCCAGCCTGGGCAACAAGAGTGAGACTTTGTCTCAAAAAAGAAAAAAGAAAAAGAAAAAAGAAAAGAAACATGGATTTGGTCTCAGCCCCTGATTTCTGGCTCCTAAAACCCTGGTAGATAGGGGTGCTAGGAGACTCTTTTGTTCAGATATTTGGTCTTTGACCCCAGTTCCTGACGCAGAGCTCCTAAGACCTCTATAATTTCCTGGGTGATAGAAATGTCCGACACAGAGCTCCTAAATCCCTTGGAATTTCCTGGGTGATAAGAGCATATTATGTTCTAATGAGGTGGCTCCTAGTGGGTTCCTGGATAGGCTCAGGATGGAGACTGGTTGCCAGGGAAACCACCCATGTGGTTAGAGCGTTGAGACTTTCAGCCCCATCCCCTAACCTCGACAAGGGGACAGGGGCTGAAGGTTGAGCAGATCACCAATGGCCAATGGTTTAATCAATCATGCCTACGTAGTGAAGTCTCCATAAACACCAAAAATGGCTCACCTTGGAGAGCTTTTAGATAGCTGGACGGGTCCCTGGAGGGTGCCGCACTGGGGAGGGTGTGGAAGCTCCGTGCTCCTTCCTACATGCACGTGCATCTCTTCCCCCAGGCCGTCATCTGCATCTTTTGTAACAATCCTTTATAATAAACTGGTAAACATAAATAAAGTGTTTCCCTGAAATTCTGTGAGCTGCTCTAGCAAATTAATTGAACCCAAGGAGAGGGCCATGGGAACCCCAATTTATAGCCCGTTGGTCAAAAGTACAGGTCACAACCGGGACTTACACTTGGCATCTGAATTTGAGGGCAGTCTTGTGGGGCTGAGCTTTGAGATCTGACACTGTCTCCAGGTCTGCTGGAGAATCGCTTGCTTGGTGTGTGGGAAAACAGCCCTTGTTCATCTGGTGTCAGAAGTGTTGTGCTGAGTGTTGCGTGAGAGTAGGAAATACACTGGTCTTTCCTATCACACAGAGGTCCTTTCCCAGGACTCCTGTGGGCAGGCAACACCCCCAGGGCACCCACCACCTGCCCTGTCCTTACAGTTCAGCAATAGTCAGATTCTCAAGCCCATCCTTTCTCGCACTCTCCTCTACTGCTGTGTAGCAGAAAGAGAGCTGGATTTGGGGTGGAGGAAGGGTAGGGAGAAGATTGATGTTTCTTGCCCACTTAACGCCATCCGAAGAGTTTACGTACATTTAAGTCTTTCATTGTGAGGTTAAATGACATGCCCAAGTTTACACAGCTAGGAACTGGGAGAGGTGTTTCTGAAACCTGTTCTGGCTGGTGGACAACTAGAAGACCTTGGTGTTCCAGTAACTCACCCTTGGAAAAACGGCTTCAGCTCTCTGAGCTCAATGTTTCTATAAAGTGAGAAAACTGGTTCTCAACCTTGGCTGTGCTTTAGAATCACCAGAGAAGCTTCAACACACTGACACCTGGCTCCACCTGGGGCTTCAGACGTTACCAGTCCAGGATGAAGTCAGCCTCACCTTCTCTGGCTCTGTGCTGTGCAGTGGGTTCAAGGGACCCAAACATGGTCAGGCCAGAGTAGGACTGTCCCTTCCAGGAGTATGGATGTTGCGAGTCCCCACTTTCTTTTCTCTCTCTAGATCTGGTTACCCAGACTAAAAAGTTCCCTTGCCCAAGAGGGTGTCAGGGTCCAAAATCTGTGGGGTCACATCTCGGATGCCTCACTTGGCGATTACAGGCAGATGGCTTAACCTCTCTGTGCTCCTCTGTTTCCTAACCTATAAAATGAGGATAAAAATAATGCTTGTCTCACAGGACTGTTGGGAGAATGAAATGAGACAACATGAGTAAAGGGCCTAGCGCAGCGGCTGGCGTTCGGTGAGGCCCTTTCTCCATCTCCTTCCCTACTTCCTCGAAAGGAGCGCCCTCCACCATGGCGGCCCAATGGAACGATCTGCATTCACTCTGTGTCTGTGAGGCCTGAGTTCAAAGGATCACGTGGAAGAGTCCTTGATGTCCAAATAAAGGGAAAATAGAGGACAGTCCAGAAGGGAGACAGGTAGAAGCACCAGAGGAGATGAACCCATTTTGGGGGCTGATGAGGGAGCTGCCTCCATGACCCTAACTCTAACCCCAACCCTAACGCTTTTCTCATTCTCACGGGATCTCTCAATGAGATGCCCAGATGCCGAGCTGGCTTCTCAACAAGGATTTGGGCTTGCTCTACCCAACTGCTCAACCATTAGTAGAAGTTGGAGGAGCTCACTCTTTGAGATCCAGAGAAGTTCCTTAACATGAGAGCCCCAGCCAGGTGGTAGCACTGACTCCATCCCTGTCCCCTTTCGGATGGTCCAGAAAAACTCTCATAACACGTCACTGTCTGTTTTTTCTCCCAAGGGCTGGGTTGTGACTCATTGTGTCATTATGTCAGGTCATTATGTTTTGTGACCTGGTGGTTGAGCTTTCCAAGGCTCAGCCAGGGAGAGTCCAGGCCCATTTCTTAGGAACCAGCCTTCGCACTATCTCTGGGCCTAGCTCTGTCTGCTGTGGCTGCGAGGCTGGAAGGACCTTCATCTCCAGGGAGGGAGGAACCCTGAGCACTGTAACCCGATGCATCTGGGGTCCCTTCTTTGCCTCTTTGCCTCGCCACTGGTTAGCTTTTTGATCTCAGGCCAGTGGCTTTGCCTCTGGAGAAGAGCTTAGCACAAGTTATCCTGTTTGCCTCTATCTACCTTTTGTCAGGCTTGATCATGGGGCATGGTTACTTCCTCACAGCTGGAAATGAAGCTGGGGAGATGAAGGAGGCAAAGTTCTGGGCCTCCCAGGTCAGTATCTTGGGAAGAGCACTGCACACAGGGCCTCATGTGCTGTCCTGGCAAAGCCGCCCACTGACTGCCACCTTGGACAAATCAATAACTTCTCTGGACCTCATTTACACAGCTGTGCTAGAAGGCAGTTGGTTTAAATCAGTCATTCTCAAAAGTGAATTATTTAGTACACTGGTTTTGCAAGCTGCTTCTCAAAAAAAAAAAAAAAAAAAGAAGTCTCAAAGGTCAAATAAGTGAGGAATCCTGTAAACTCCACCCCCAATTAGCACTTTATATATATATATACACACACACACACACACACACACACATATATATATGTCAGCTTATTAATGGTTCTGAGAAATCCAGTAACAAAGAAGCCAGTCTGGCTTTGTTTAAGTCACTTTTTCCTGAACTCATTTGGCCGTGAACCTTTTTTCCCTTTTAATTCCCATTAACATCCTGGCGTACTAGCAACGGAAGAAAAACAGGTGAGAAATGATGCTCTAATTTGGAGCTGGGTCTCTCAAACTTGAAAATGCATGCAAAACACCAGGGGATCTTGGTGAAATGCAGATTCTAATTCGGCAGGTCTGGGATGGGGCCTGAGAGTCTAGATGTCTAACAAGCTCCCAGGTGATGCCTGTGATGCCAGTCTAGGGACCACGCATCAAATTACAAAGGACTGATTCTAAAGGCTTTGTTTGGCTTCAGTATTGGAAGTAGTATAGAAACGGTGGCTCAGGGACTCTGAAATCATAAGGACCTGGGTCCAGGCCCTGACTCCACCACTTACCAGCAGTATGACCTTGGACAAGTCATTTTACCTCCCTGACGTTCGTTTTCTTATCTGTAAAGTTTAGATATTGATCATGTCTGCTCCATGGGATTGTTTGAGAATTAAATAAGACTATGCAAATAAAACACAATGCAAGACCTAGCCCATGATAGGAGTAAAATATATGCTGGTCATCACTGATGATGAGACACAGTTCAAGCCTCTCCTATCTGTTGGCTGACACCTACAGATGACACCTCTTTCCCTGCTCCCACTGTTACTTGCATTACTGACTGCTGCTCCCAACCCTCCTTCCTCCCCAGTCCCAAGGCCCTGTTGTCTCTGTGTGTGTGACTCTACATGATCTCTCTTCTCTGGCACATTCTGGTAACCTCTCTTGCTTTCAGGGCATCAGAGGAGCTGAGGGATCATGGCTTCTCCTCTGATGATTACAGACAAACTGTACTAGCAGCCCACTAGTAATAGTACAACCCACTCAGGCAGAAGCTGGGCTAACATAGGTCTTCCTAACCCTGTCCAAACGGGGTCCTCATTGACGGGTGAAGTGAAGCATCGGGGTTAGCACGAGCCCATCACACTATCCTGGGTACAGGCCCTACTGACTGTCATAGACTTTGTTGTATGTCACATGCAGCTACTTGAGAGTATAACTCTCACTATATTCACCTTTGTGTTCCTCAGTAGTGTGTCTGCAATGGAATTGTATTAACATGTTCACCTGGTAAAAAGAAATCCTTTATGAGCTAGCAAGAACTGTATTTGGGCTCAGTTAAACCCTCTGCTTAATTGCAATTATGCTTAAACAATGGATTAGGACCATATCACTCTGGCTGCCCTTGATCTTGGAAAAGGAAGGGAGAGGGAAGGAGGATCTCCATTTATTGATCACCTCTAGGTGTTTTGCTTTTGATACATATCATCTAAGCCTCTCAGCAACCCCACGTAACAGGTATTCATATTCTTATTTATCAAATTCAGAGAGACTAAGGAATTTCCCTAAATACACACAGCGAGTAAGCAGCAGAACTGGGATTAGCATTTAGGATAATTTGACTTTATTATCACTATAGGCTTTCTCTCTTCCCAATTATGATGGCAGAAGATGGCTGCTATCGACTTCCACGTTTTACATGTTATTGGAACACCTGAAAAGAAAATAAATCTTCTCTCAACTTCACCCTGGTCTTGGGTCAAGTTCGACATCAGGACCAATTAATGTGTTCATAGAGACCGTGTCACATTGTGCAAGCATGGCAGCCTCTGATTGGACCATGTGGATGGGAGGCACGATGAAGGAGAGTGGGTTAATCAACGCCTAGATCAGGGTGCTGGGCAGGTCCCCAGTGACTTCCAGTCTATGGCATACCCCTTATTAGGGGGCGGCAACTGGTAAAGGAGATATTAACAGGCAGATGGGGATGAAAACTCCATCTTGATCAGATCCAGGTGCCATGCTGGCTGCCCTGTGGCCCTCGTACATGTTGTCACCACCAGCTCCCCCACTGCAGTAGCCTTTGTTTTCTTTGGCAGCCTCCTCCTTGGAGGGCTGAGGATGGAAATCAATCACATCCTCACCCCTTACCTCTCATCTCTCCGTCTGGTTGCAGAGGCTGGTTGTGTGGGGGGCATGGTGGCAGATTCCACAGCTGCACATATCTGGGAACTTCTGGACCCCTGAGTCCCTGCCACACCATGTCACATGCCCTTCCATTGGTCCAGCGTGGAAGGAGGTAGTAGAGAGATGATGAGCCTATGCAAGAGACCATTAAAACCAAGACTTTCCGGAATTTCCATGGAGTTGCGGGGTAAAACGAGGTGAAGTGCAAGTTGTTAACCATTCCTCCAGACTCCCAAAAATGACTTTAGAGAGCCTCCCTGACCCTCCTCGCCAACAAGCCATCCAGAAATGCAAACACCATTTAAAGCTGACAGCTCCAGCTTGATCATTGTCCTCTACACCATGCAAATGTGAGCACACTTAATTAATAACCTGGGATGCCCTATCTCCTCCACACTGGGAGGGCTCAGTGCCTTTCTCTTGGTCACCACTGCTAGCTGATTTTTAATTATCTTTCGGGACTGTCGCCTTTTGAAATGCCGCAAAGGAAATGCTCACCCCAGCTGGGCCAGGGCCAGGCCTGTTGGAGAACAATGTCCATCCCAGAGTCCATTGTGCTGATCTCTTGGCTGGAACGACAGCCCTCAGACGGGAGAGGAGCGCTTCCCTGCAAACCGAGAGAGGGCTTGGTGCCTTTTCAGCATTCTGTGTCTATGGAGCTGACATGACTTAAAATACTGACCTCTTTTTAAACTTTTAAAACTTTGTTTCTGAAAATACTGCCTTGAACAAGGCAACTGGGGTCTTTTATTATGTTTTAATCCAACAATTATGTTGGATACAATTAGATTTCCCCTCTAATTGTAGCAGCTGGTGTTTATTGAGCATCTATTCTGTGCCAGGCACTGTGTTTACAACAATTTTATTTTAATTTTCTTAAAGACGAGTGTGAGGCTGAGCATGTGGCACATGCCTGTAATCCCAGCACTTTGGGAGGTCGAGGCGGGTGGACCACTTGAGCTCAGGAGTTCTAGACTAGCCTGGGCAACATGGCGAAACCCCATCTCTACAAAAAAATACAAAAATTAGCTGGGCGTGGTGGCACACGCCTCTAGTCCCAGCTACTTTGAAGGCAGAGGTGGGAAAACTGCTTGAGCCCAGGAGGTCAAGGCTGCAGTGAGCCGAGATTACTCCATCGCACTCTAGACTGGGTGACAGAGCGAGACCCTGTGTCAAAAAAACAAAACAAAACAAAACAAAACCACCAAAAAAAACCCCAATGTGATACTATAGGCACTGTGTTTTACATGCATTGCCTCATTCACACCTTGCAACTGTGTTTACTGCCCCCCTTTTACAGAGGAGGGGACTGAGGCTCAAACATTTATATCCCTCTCCCCTACCTGAGGTCTAAGTGGCAAGTAGAGACTGCTGGGATTTGAGCTCAGGGAGTCTGATTTCAGAGCCTACCTTTTATCCATGACCTTCCTCTTCCCTCCTCAGAATTGAGTATATATTCCATTCTGCCCAAGAACAGGTCCTGGCAAAGCACCCACAAACCCCAAGCCTTGGTTTTTAACTTTTATTTAATTTTTTTTATAAGACAGCATCTCACTATGTTGCCTAGACTAGTCTTGAACTCCTGAGCTCAAGCGATCCGCCCGCTTTGGCCTCCCAAAGTGCTGGGGTTACAGGTGCGAGCCACTGTGCCCAGTCCGATTTATATCTTTTACTCACTCCATCCCAGCAATCTGTGCTTACCTGCTTCTGAAAAATAGAAGGACTGTGTATGGTCAAGGTGCCATGTTCTTGCCACCACCGTGAGTGTTGAGAGCCAGGGCCTTGGTGGACGAAGACACAAAGTCTGCTTCCAGGAATGGACGGTGAAGCTCCTGGGTTTGCCGGCTCTTGCAGGTTCTCCAGCGAGCTCCACTGGACGTTTCAGGAAAGATGTGGCTCATTCTCTCCTCAACTGGGATGTTGCAAGGAGAGGAGTGAGAAATGGGGCAGGACAACAGCAAGGCATTCCAGAGGGCTTTCCTGCTTCCTGCTGCTAATGGTTTTTCCATTGCTGTGACTTTGGACCTGCAATCCTTCCCCTTTACTTGGCTCTAGAACTTTCCTCTCTAGCATTTTTTAAGTCACAAAGCCAACAAGCCCGAATTTTAAAGTAACCCCAGACCAAACATGGTGGGTTGAACTGTGTCCCTCCGAAAGACACGTCCAGGTCCTAACCCCATGTACCTATGAATGTGACTTTTTATTTGGAAATAGGGTCTTTGCAGGTGTAATTAAGGATTAACATTATTCTGAAGAGAAGACCCTAAGGATCTCTCAGGTGGGGCCTAAATCTAACGACTGACGTCTTTATTTAAAAAAAAAAACAAGTGAGAGGAAGACTTGAGACACACAGGGGAAAGCCGTGTGAAGATAAAGACAGAAATGGAGTTAGGCCACCACAGCCAGGGAATGCCAGAAGCCACAGAAGCTGGAACAGGTGGGGAAGGATTCTGCTCTAGAGCCTTTGGAGACAGCATGACCCTGCTGTCACCCTTTGTTTTGGACTTCTGGTCTCTAGAATGGTGAGAGAATAAATTTCCATTGTCTTAAGCCAACTCAGTTGGTAGCAATTTGTTAAGGCAGTCCTAGGACACTAACACACTAAGGCAAGACGTTGTCATCAGCCAGGTCGCTGGGAACCACTGAAGAGCAGAACCTCCCTTTCATGACATCAACGTGCCCGTGGAGATTTGAGGCTGGCCAACGTGCCAACCTTAGCCCACACTCACGCCTGGGCTTTTACACTTGTCTGGCTTCTGCACCTTTGGGGACAGGTACTGTGTGGAATGGCTGGAAACTGTTGCTTATACCAGCTGACCACAGTCAGAACTGTTCTGGGAAATGACGGCCCATTTGGTAATGGAAAGCAATGCTCTCCTGCCCACTCTCTCCCAACCTCCAACCAGGCACAGCCTGGACCTCACTTGCTGACTCAGGCAGATGCCCTAACCTCTCTGTGCCTGTTTCCTAACCTATAAAATGAGGATAAAAATAACGCTTCACAGCACTGTTGGGAGAATGGAATGAGACTGGATGTGCAAAGGACCAAACACAGTGCCTGGTACTCAGTAGGACCCTTTCTCCACTGCCTGTCCTACGTCCTCTAAGGGAGCTTCTTCCAGTATGGTGCCTTAATGGATCCATTTCCATTCATTCTGTATCTGTGAGGATTCAAAGAATTACACTGAGGAGTCCTTGATGGGAGAGGGTTGGAGCAAAGGCGGGTTGAATTGCTCCATATAAAAGACTAACAGAAACTTCCAAGAGTCCTTGGAAGTCAAAAGGAAAGAGGTATGATGGTGTTTCCTCTTGAGGGATGGCAGAGTCTGGAAGAGGGGAGAAGAGGAGACAGTTTCTGTGGACAGCGTGGCAGTGGGTGGAACCAGGAGCACTAGAATGGCTGGCAGAGAAGGTCCCTGAGGAGGATTGGCCAAGGAAGCGCAGGGCAGTGGTGTGAACTGTGCCCTCTCCTGTACTTCACGGTCATCGGTCATCGGTCATCCCCTGCTCCTACCAAAGGGTACATGTTGGTTCCGTCAGCTGTCTCGGGTCAGTGCTTCTTTAGGGAGTGTGGGGAGAGGGACACATCATGTGTGGGATGAGGCCGCATGAAAAGCAGGCGACATCTGCAGGGGACACACCTATGAGGGTATCTCTCACAGTTCTCCCAGTCTAAACAAGAAATGAGATTGGGAGACATGTAGCTCTGCAAAATTACCGGGGGTTGGAGCAGGAGGATGAAAAAGTCTTGAAATTCTGACTGCAAGTGGGAAGACAGCACCAGGCAGTTGACCTGGCCGCTAAAGGAAAAGGTGAGCTCAGCGGCTTGAGGACTTGGGGACAGCCAGGAGGCAGCTCTTGGGGGCCTGTTTGACTTAGCTCCTGATTCCCTGCCATGCTAGCATGGTGCATTGCATTCAACAGATTCTCAATAAATCCCTAAAAATAAATGATGTCTCGCAGGGGCCATAGAGAGCCAAAATAGTATGTAATATTCTGCATAGGAGGAGCCCATGCTGCAAACCAAAGTCAAACTATGCACAGGGAGCTTCGAGGGATCTCCCTTTTCGGTCCCTGCTGGCTCAGTGGACTTTACCTCTTTCCTTCTTCCCTAGGCCTTTCCTCTTGAGTAAATTCTCCCCAGTGCCTGAGAGCAGTTTATAAACTTTTTCCCAGATGACTGCTCTCTATAATCTATAATTCTCATCTATAATCTATAATTCTCATCAATTATATATGAAAATATACACCTATATCTAAGGACATATAAGATATATATTTATATATAATTATATATTTTTTATATATAATTATATAGTGATATATTTTATCTTTCCTCTGTTCCTTTAAAGCAAATCGCCCCCACCCCCACTGCCTTTTTTTTTTTTTTCGAGACAGGGTCTCGCTCTGTTGACCAGGCTGGAATGCAGTGGTGCGATCATGCCTCACTGCAGCCTCCGCCTCCCCGGCTCAAGTGATCTTCCCACCTCACCCTGCCAAGTAGCTGGGACTGAAGGCGCGCATCATCACGTCGGGCTAATTTTTGTATTTTTTGTAGAGATGGGGTTTTGCCATGTTGCCCAGACTGGTCTTGAACCCCTGACCTCAGGTGATCTACCTGCCTCGGCCTCCCAAAGTGTTGGCATCACAGGCGTGAGCCACTACACCCCACCTACATTTTCTGCATGAGGATAAGGAAGCTCTGAGAGGTTAAATGACTTGCCTAAGTCACTCAGCTAATGAATGGTGGAGTCCAGCACTTAGCTCAGGCCAGGCGGCATCACCGCTCACTGTAAGCTATTCCCACGTGGCGAGGCGCGGGGTCTTTCGGCCTCATCACTGATGTGGGGACTTGAACATGGCTCTTCCTTTTCCTGCATCCTCCATGTGCCCTCCTGGTAAACCAGACACCCACGGCCTCAGCCGCTCTTCATCAGCCTGACTTGGGCTTCCAGAGACTACCCAGGCCACGTGGGGCTGGTTTGGCAAAAACTGGGCTCTAGAATTTGCTTTAGCTGTTTTCTTTTCCACTTCATTGTTTCCGTGGGATGTCTGCCTTCCCAAAATAACACCGGGGCATTCCAGGTAAACTCAACATCCGACGAAAATCCCCGTTCAGCGGCAAGTCCGAGGGGCCCTGGTTTTTGCTATTGTTTTCCTCCCTTCCTCTGATCCCTCTGGCTTGGGAGGGGTAGGCGTCTGGGACAGGTTCCCGGTGGAGCCTGGATGAAGGGGGAAGCCGGAGGAGGAGAGGCGGGGCTTGGCCAGCTCCAGCCAGCCAGCTGATACTCCTGCTCTCTGCGCTAGCGCTGGAGGTAGCCCTGAGCTTGCTCTTCTCACTTTTCTGGGGAATGTTCTGAGGCCTGGCGGAAAAGAACTGGGCAGGATTTTGTGCCTTACTTCACTTGTATCAGAGAAAGAAAATAACACCAAGGTGGCCCCTAATTCTGCTCTGATTTCTGGAGGCAGCATGGATGGTATCATGGAGAAGCATTGGCTTTGGATTAAGCCAGATCTGGGCTGAATCCTGGCTCTGGTGCTTACCAGCTGTAAGCCATAGAAGCTGTAAGACCATAAACAGCTTATGTGTTCCTCTGAGCCTCCATTTCCTCATCAGTAAAATGGGGGTGATACTGTCCCTATTAAAGCAATAAAGACGGATGAATGCAATGCCCCAAATAGGACCTGCCCCATAATAGGGTCTCAACCCATACAGAATAGTTTTCTCTCTACTTCTTAGGATATGGGAGGGGGGAGTTGCTTACTTCTTCATTGCTTTTTTTTTTTTTTTTTAGACAGAGTCTTGCTTTGTCGCCCAGGCTGGAGTGCAGTGGCGCGATCTTGGCTCCCTGCAACCTCCGCCTCCCCAGGGGTTCAAGCGATTTTCATGCTTCAGCTTCCTGAGTAGCTGGGATTACAGGTATGCACCGTCACTTCCAGCTAATTTTTTTTGTAATTTTAGCAGAGACAAGGTTTCACCATGTTGGCCAGGCTGGTCTTGAACTCCTGACCTCAGATGATCCACCTGCCTCAGCCTCCCAAAGTTCTAGGATCACAGACAGGAGCCATCACACCTGGCCTTCATTGCTTTTTGATGTCATTATTACCCAAGTGCTGAGAAGGTGCTGTTTAGAGGCCAACTTAGAGAAGTGGAAAAAACAGAGTGTTACCAGACAGGCAGGGCCCATGGCCACCAGCCTTGCTTGTTTATGTATGTACCCCTAACAGAATTTTGTAAAGCTAGCCCCTCTGTACCCCCAGCACATTTAAAAAATGAAGTTCAAAAGTTAAGTAGCTGCAAAAACTGTGGTTTCTGGCTTATTGTAAATATTGGTATTTAAAACCTACTGTGACTTCACACTTTAAAACGTATCCAGTGGAACGTAACATGGATGATTTGATATCCCCTCTCATCCATTTTAAAATGTATGAAAAAGCTGGTTGGCATTCAGGAATTTTACATCTTTCTTTTTATCTCCTGGAACTCATATTACTATTTCTACTTCCTTCACAGATTTTTATCCTGACATATTATTTTCTTATGCTTCAGAATATTTTATTGATCACATTTAGTTACAGGGATTATGTCATTTTTTTTATTTTATTCTTTTTTTTTTTTTTTTTTTTTTTTTTTTTTTTTGCTCTCCTAGGACTCTCCCCCAAGAGTAGGGGGAGCGAAGAACAAAGTAATTAAATGAAAATTGTTATTTTATTTTATTTATATATATTCTTTTGAGATGGAGTCTCATTCTGTCGCCCAGGCTGGAGTGCAGTGGCGCGATCTCAGCTCACTGCAAGCTCTGCCTCCTGGGTTTACGCCGTTCTCCTGCCTCAGCCTCCCGAGTAGCTGGGGCTACAGGCGCCCGCCACCATGCCCGGCTAATTTTTTGTATTTTTAGTAGAGACAGGGTTTCACCATGTTAACCAGGATGGTCTCGATCTCCTGACCTCATGATCTGCCCGCCTCAGCCTCCCAAAGTGCTGGGATTACATGCGTGAGCCACAGTACCTGGCCGAAAATTGTTATTATTCTCACCACCAGTACAAGGGTGCAGCAGGCCCTGTGAGCTATGGAATTATTCATGGAGTCATTCCCCACGTTGGGTCCCCTTTCTTTTGTAAAATGGAAAAAGCCTTAGTGTGTTAATTAATTCTTATTCTCAGGTAACTCCATTTTAGGGAAGAAGGCCTATGCAAGTTGCGGATCTGGAAATTGGTTTCCTGATTATTATTTTTGCCTAATTACCCTCTGGAATTGGATACATATCCCAGTTAGAGGACACTGAGTTCCCATTTGAAACCCAACTTTATTACTTAATACGGTCAGGTAACCTGAGGCAAGTTTCCAAACCTGTGGGTTTCCACAGAGGATTGCTACTAGAATAAAATGAGGTTATAGATATTATGCTATAAAGTTTAAGGTCCCAATAAATGGTGAATTCTCAGGGGACACATTTTTCAATATTTAGTATTTATGAAATTAGGGTGTGTATTATTATCAGTGTGTACATTTGATGTGGTAGGATTTTCCCCCCAAATCTGTTATTGAATTGTGATTGATAGCCACTTAGAATTAAAGATACAGGGTAGTTTGCATCCTTCCAGCCTGTCCTCAGTCTGCCTTCTTTTGGGTTTCCAGGCTGCACCTAATAACACTCTGACCTGGGCTCATGGCCTTGGGGGCTGAAGTCTACAGCAAAGAGCCGGCGATACCTCTTGAATCCTTTTCCCAGATTGTACCAGTGGCTCAGAGCTCATCAGCTTGTAAGTATCATTGAACAGTTTTCTCTAGATCCACTCCCCTAACTGGAAGCTCATTGAATTGCATCTAACGTTTGTTTTTCCCTCCACAGCTTTGTGAAAGTTTCCTGTAGTTTTCTTTGATCTATATGACAGTTCATTGTCCAGAAGAGCTATGTCGTCCTTGGATTTGATGGCTTCACTGTGTACTCCTTCTTTTCATTTGAAAGGAAAAAAGAAGCCAACAGAAAAGAGATCTGAGCGCTGATCCCCGTGAGAAAGGACAAAGTTACCTGCAAAGAAGCCGTTATGCTGCCTTTGTTCCTGGACTCTGCGGAGATCCGTATCCAGTGTGAAACATCTCTCTGATCACGTATTAGGGACTCAGCAAAATGTCGGTGAATGCATGAAATGAGTCAATCCCATGGAAATTTAGTTTTAAACGATGCTTTATTGCGAAAGATTTCAAACATTGGGAAGTAAATAAACGGTGAAGTGAGTGTCCATGCAGCCATCACTGGTTTCAATAATGGTCGGTTTATGACTCATTTTGTTGCATTTACACTTCCCTTCTCCTACCAAGGTCATTTTGAAGCCGCTCCCTCACATCATATAGTTTTGTCCGTAAGTGTCTCAGCATGCATTTCTAAAACATAAGGTTCTTTTTAAAAACCTTAAACACAATACCTTATGACACCTTAAAAGTTTAACAATTCCTCAGTATATGCACACAGTGCTCAAATTTTCCCAACTTTCTCTTTATTGTTTTATGATGTGGGAATTCACTTTAAAATATTGGTTTTGGTGGAGAGACCTGTCAAAGACTTTTCAACTATTTTCATAAGTGTTTCTCAGGTTTTAGTGTGCAAAGCATTCACCTGCGGAGCTTATTAAAGTGAAGATTCCTAAACTCCACCCAGGCACAGAAAGAGCCCCAGAAGTTGCCATTCATAACAAGCATCTCCAAGGAATGTGATGTGTGTACGCTATGTAATCCAACTCTGAGAGAAACCCCACCCAGGCCTCGAAAAAGCCCCAAAAGTTCCCGTTCCTAACCAGCATCTCCAGTGAATGTGATGTATGCGGTGTAACCATACTCTGAGAAATCCCAATCCACATCTATTAAAACTCCCGTCCTTTTACTTTCCTTGCCTTGGTTTAACTCCTTGACCCTCACCTCTTGCTGGGCTCCAACAGGTACTACGATCCAGTTACACTGAATTTCTTTTGGTTCTTTGACTGTACCGTGCTCTCTCCATCTGGCCTTCGTCCAGACTTTCGCCTCTGTCTCGAACATATCCAGGCTCCATTGTAGCCCCTTACCTCCTCTTCACTTAATTGACCCCTGTTCATCTTTTGGGTCCTGATATGGTTTGGCTCTGTGTCCCCATCCAAACCTCATCTTGAACTGTAGCTCCCATAATGCCCACATGTTGTGGGAGGGACCTGGTGGGAGATCATTGACACACGGGGGCGGTTTTCCCCATACTGTTCTCTGCGGTAGTGAATAAGTCTCACAAGAACTGATGTCTTTGGTGAGGGGTTTCCCCTTTTGTTTGGCTTTCATTTGCTCTTGCCTGTTGTCATGTAAAACATGCGTTTTGCCTTCCACCATGATTGTGAAGCCTCCCCAGTCACATGGAAGTGTGAGTCCATTAAACCTCTTTTTCTTTATGAATTACCTAGTCTTGGGTATGTCTTTATCAGCAGCATGAAAACGGACTAATACAGGTCCTTGTTCAGCATCCCTTCCTCCCTGCTGCCTTCCCTAAACTTCAATTCCAGGTCAGGTGTCCCTCCTACCTGCTCTCCCAGTGCCCCACGTTTCCTGTCATAACAGCCATCAAACTCCTTTGCCACCACATCAGAAGCACTGGTCATGCTCTCCCAGCAGACTGTCAGTTCCCTAAGAGTGGAGCCCTCATCTGTCTGTTTACTCCTACAGTCCCAGCAGCCGGTGCCTGCCCTGCACACAGCCAGGATTCTGCGAGTCACCACTGAAAATGACACTGAGTTCTGTTGAAAGTTCATTTTAACCATATGAACTAGGGAAAATTTTGCTAGCAGAAAATACCCATATTTTATTTGTGTACAGCCTAAAAATCTCAAGCATTAGCACGTATATGCAAAATACAGTCAAACTGGGCTAGGTGTGGTGCTCACACCTGTAATCCTAGCACTTTGGAAAGCTGAGGTGGGAGGATCACTTGAGTCCAGGAGTTCAAGACCATCCTGGGCAGCATGGCAAAACCCTATCTATGCAAAAAAAAAAAAAATTAACTGGGTGTAGTGACATGTGCCTACGCTCCCAGCTACTAGGGAGGCTGAGGCAGGAGAATCACTTGAGCCTGGGAAGTGGAGGCTGCAGTAATCTGAGATCATGTCACTGAACTCCAGTTGGGGGACACAGTAGAGGGAGATCCTGTCGCCTGTCTCAAAAAAAAAAGAAAGAAAGAAAGAA